CGACAACGCGCGCGTGCGCACGTCGCCCACCCCAGGGAGGGGTAACATCTATTTCTTTCAAGACAGGAGAACCTATGTGGTGCTACATGTGTAGTGCTATCGGCGTGGTGACATAAATGTGCCACATACTTGGTGCAATCTGTGTTGTGCAACATGTGCTGCGCAATACATGTGGTGTAGCCTGGGTTGTGCTATACATGTGTAGCGCGATATGTGCGGTGCAGTCAAATGTATAGACGTCGTGCAACCAAAATGGCGTCAATTATTTACAACGATCTACGCGGTGTCATATTATGTGGCGCGGTATATGTTGTGCAGGCGATCTGGCCCAGCCTATGTTGGGACATATATGCTGTGTGCAGTAAAGATGATGCAAAACCTGTGACACAATAAGTGTTGTGCAATCTACTTGGTACAATCCATGTTGTGCAGTCGGTGTGGTGCGACATCTGCGGTGCAATCAACGTGGTGACATCTATGTGCTGCAATTCACTTTGACTGTCTTGAAACTGTCCTCTCCACTGCTCGTGCAAGCACCCTACCCTCCCACCCGCAACTTGGTCGCAAGACCTCCCAAGACCGTGACGACGACACCGACAGCGACAGCAGCGACGCCGACGACGGCAGCGACACCGACGACGACGACGCTGCCGACAACGACTACGACGACAGCGACGACGTCTCCAACGACTTCGACGACGCCGACAACGACGACGACGACGCCGACACCGACGACGACGACGACGCCGACACCGACGACGACGACGCCGACGCCGACAACGACGACGACGATAACGACGCCAACGACGACGACAACGACGACACCGACGACGACGACGTCAACGACGCCGACGCCGACGACGACGGCGACGACGACGGCGGCGACGACGACGACGCCGACGTCGACGACGACGAGGACGACGCCGACGCCGACGACGACGACGAAGACGACGACGACGTCGCCAACGAAGACGACGACGAGGGAGGAGGGAGGACGACGACGGCGACGACGACGACACCGACGACAACGACGAGGTAGGAGGGAGGACGGCGACGACGCGAACGACGAAGACGGAGGAAGGACGGCGACGCCGACGACGACAACAACGAGGGAGGAGGGAAGACGACGACGACAACGACGACAACGACGACGGCGACGAAATAGGAGGGACGACGACGAGACGCCGACGACGGACGACGACGACGAAGGAGGAGGAAGGACGACCACGGCGACAATGACGACGGAAACGACCACGACGCCAAAGAGGACGACAACGACGAATACGAGGAAAGGCAGAGGACGACGTAGGCGACGACGACGACGACGACGACGCGGGGGGAGGGAGGACGGCGGCGACGACGACGACGACGCAAGAGCGCGCGCGCACGCTTTTGTTGAAAATCCGTGTTGCGAAACCCTGTGTTGTTGTAGGTATTTTGGACACACGACTTTGAAATCCTTCCGAAACCGATGGGTTTTGAAGGATTTCGGCATACGCGCGCGACGACGCGCGCGTCTGCACTTCGTCCCGTCTTTTGCTGAGGATTCTCGCGACGGCACACGCGCAAGGGCGTTCGACAGATTTCGACATGCGCGCGAACGAAGCCCGTTCGGTAGCATGTTGTGAAAATATTGAAAACCTACGGTTTTCTTAAGATTTCGCAAGAGCTCGAGCGTAAGCTTTTTCATCAAATCAGTGTTGCGAAACCCTGTGTTTTTGAATGTTTTCTGGGAAACTCGATTGCGAACTCCTTCGACACCGAAGGTTTTTGAAGGATTTCGGCATGCGCGTGCGACGACGCGCGCGAGTGCACTTCGTCACATTTTTGAAAGGGGTTCGCGAAAAAGTCTTATGTTAGAACAACAAATGTCCCCGCGTATTGTGTTTTACAATGGAGCCTCAGGGGGACCGATACCGGCCCCTCAATCATAGTGCACATTCATATTTAGGATGGACATGTGGTCATAACCATCTATAATTTACATACCCGACAGGGAGACCGATAACGCCAGGGGGGGGTAGAGTCTATTCTCTTTGTAGAACGGAGAATAAATTTCTGTTCGCAGTGAGTTGTCCACTTCACTGCTCGCGCAAACACCCCACCCACCCACCCGCAACTTGGTTTGCAAAATCTCTTAAGACCGTGACGGTGGGTACCAAATGGCACTTGGCATGGACAGCGACGCCGACGACGACAGCGACAATGACGACGACGCCGTCGACAACGACTACTACACCGACGACGTCTCCAACGACTTCGACGACGCCGACAACGACGACGACGACGACGACGACACCGACGACGACGACGACGCCGACGCCGACGACGATGACAAAGACGACGACGATGACGACGCCAACGACGACGACAACGACGACACCGACGCCGGAGACGAAGACGTCAACGACGCCGACGACGACGACGACGGCGGCGACGACGCCGAGACGAAGACGTCAACGACGCCGACGACGACGACGACGACGGCGGCGACGACGCTGACGTCGACGACGACGAAGACGGCGACGACGCCGACGCCGACGACGACGACGACGACGTCACCAACGAAGACGACGCCGAGGGAGGAGGGAGGACGACGACGGCGACAACGACGACACCGACGACAACGACGAGGGAGGAGGGAGGACGGCGACGACGCGAACGACGAAAAAGGAGGAAGGACGGCGACGCCGACGCAGACAACGACGAGGGAGGAGGGAAGACGACGATGACGACGACGACAACGACGACGACGACGGCGACGAAATAGGAGGGACGACGACGAGACGCCGACGACAGACGACGACGGCGACGAGGGAGGAGGAGGAAGGACGACCACGGCGACAACGACGACGGAAACGACCACGACGCCAGAGAGGACGACGACGACGAACACGAGGAAAGACAGAGGACGACGTAGGCGACGACGACGACGACGACGCGGGGGGAGGGAGGACGGCGACGACGACGACGACGACGGCGACGACGCAAGAGCGCGCGCGCACGCTTTTGTTGAACATCCGTGTTGCGAAACCTTATGTTTTTGTAGTTTTTTTGGACACACGACTTTGAAATCCTTCCGAAACCGATGGGTTTTGAAGGATTTCGGCATACGCGCGCGACGACGCGCGCGTCTGCACTTCGTCCTATTTTTTGCTGAGGGTTCTCGCGACGGCACACGCGCAAGGGCGTCCGACAGATTTCGACATGCGCGCGAAAAGCCCGTTTGGTAGCATTTTGTAAAACTCTTGAACAACCGATGGTTTTCTTAAGATTTCGCAAGAGCTCACGCGTAAGCTGTTTTGGCAAATCGATGTCGCGTAACCCTGTGTCTTTGTAAGTTTGTTTGGAAACTCGATTGCGAAATCCTTCCGACACCGGAGGTTTTTGAAGGATTTCGGCATGCACGCGCGACGACGCGCGCGTGTGCACTCGCCCCATGTTTTGCAAAATGATTTGTGAAACACTTTACGTTCGAACAAACAATATCCCCGCGTAGCGTTTTTTTTTTTTTGTTTAAACAAAAGAACCTCAGGGGGACCAGTCCCAGCCCCCTTGGGATCGTGTAAATTCATATTTGGGGATGGACATGTGGTCAGAATCATTTATGATTTACATACCCGAAAGGGGAAGGGATAACGCGGGGGGGGGTCGAGTCTCTTCTCTTTTCCGAAAGGCGAATCAATTACTTGCTCAACTTGCATTTGTCCACTCCACTGCTCGTGCAAACATCCCACCCTCCGAGCCGTAACTTGGCCGCAAGACCTCTGAGGACCGTGACGGCGGGTACCAAATGGCACATGGCAACGACACCGACGCCGACGACGACAACGACAACGACGACGGCGACGCCGACGACAACGACTACGACGACACCGGCGACACCTCCAACGACTTCGGCGACGACGACAACGACGACGACGACGACGACGACGACGACGACACCGACGCCGGCGACGACGACGACGCCGACGCCGACGACGATGACGACGACGACAACGCCGACGACAACGACGATGACAACGCCGACGACGACGACGACAACGAAGCCGACGACGACGGCGACGACGACGACAAAGACGACGCCGACGCCGACGCCGACGCCGACGACGAGGGAGGAGGAGGACGACGACGACGACAACGACGACAACGACGAGGGAGGAAGGGGTACGGCAGCGACGCGAACGACGAAGAAGGAGGGAAGACGGTGACGCCGACGACGACAACGACGAGGGAGGAGGGAGGACGACGACGATGACGACGACGGCGACGAAATAGGAGGGACAACGACGAAACGCCGACGAAGAGGACGAAAAAGGAAGGACGACCACGGCGACAACGACGACGAAAACGACGACGACGACAAAATGACGACGACGCCGACGGCGACGACGACGAAAACGGCGACGACGCCGACGCCGACGACGACGACGACGAAGACGACGAAGACGTCGCCAACGAAGACGACGACGAGGGAGGAGGGAGGACGACGACGGCGACAACGACGACAACGACGACAACGACGAGGGAGGAGGGAGGACGGCGACGACGCGAACGACGAAGAAGGAGGAGGGACGGCGACGCCGACGACGACAACGACGAGGGAGGAGGGAAGACGACGACGACGACGACAACGACGACGACGACGACGGCGACGATGATGATGCGACGCTCGGCTTCGCTGGCTTGCGTGCTCGTCCAGAGAGGCAAGCCAGTGGGTGGAGCTTGGGACCTCGCGAGGATCCACCACTTACGCGTCGCCGGCCTAACCTCCAAAGGTGAAAAGATCGGGGCCCCGAACCCCTGGGGGGTCCCCGAAGAAAGCGCCCCTGAGCGTGCCTCTTGCGCACCATGGAGCTCTGAGCGCGTGCTCTTGCCTGGCGCGCTCCGCGCGCCGAGCCTTGGCTGCAGCTCGGTTGGTCTCGATGCGGGCACGCTGCGCATCGCTCAAGACCGGTGGAGGAGGCGGAAGGGGGACAACAGACGGCGTCGACGACGTCGGAGGAGACGGGGAAGGAAGGGAGAGTGTGACGGGCCAAAATGGCCGTCTTGGGCAACTGCTGGAGCATCTGCCCTGTCTGCAGGCGTTGCCTGCATATCGATGTATTGTTGCTCCTCTTCAACTTCGCAGATTTTTCTAATTGTTTCAAGACACTACTCTGCAAATCCACACCTGTTAGGCAGCTCTCACAACAGCACGCTAAGCAACATGCTGGTGACCTTCTGGATGTTCCAGGCCCCTCCCCGGGAAGGGAGATCAGCGGAAGTTGCGCGCGAAGGCATCGACCCTGGAGCTCCCCCACTTGGGTGCGGGCGCGGTCTTCGGGCGGGGGCCGGTTGGCTGTTCCTGCCGACGCGGGGCTTTGGGGGTCGCGACACCCTCGGGAGCGGGCCCAGGGGCTGTGCCTGGGGGCCCACTGGGGGCAGCTTTTGCAGGCATGGACCCATGGCGCTCCACCTGCGTGTCAGGGGCAGGCGGCTCTGCCGCGGCTGCGTTCCGGCTCTGGAGGACCGCCCAAGCACGGGCACGCTGCGCCACGCGGTGCAGCGATTGGATTGCCGGGCCGCTCGTTGCCAGGTGGGCCTCTGCTGCTCCCAGGGCGCGGATCGGAGTGGGCGGGCGCGCCCCAGGGAAGACGTCACTGATCGTCGCTCGGAATGATGGGGTCTGACGCGAGCAGCTCATCGATGTTGATCGGCACGTCTGGCCCTCCGTAGGCGATCCAGAGAGGGAACTCTTCCGGGGGGGCATTCTTTCTCTTCTCGCGGGCTGGGGTCTCGGGGCGGGGCAGTGGAGGGGGCCCAGAGGAAGGGGGCGCGCATGGCCCCTGCCTCGCCTCCTGAGCCTGCGCCGCCGTCTGCTGGAGGGCATGGGCCACTTCTGCCGCTAAGGCAGACATGAAGGTGCCCGATGTCAGCATGCTGTGGAGGTCCTGGGCCTGCTGAGTGGCCGTCTCTGTGGCAGCCCTGAGGGTCTCGATCTGGATGCGGACCTCATTCGTGTTACTCAGAGCCTGCTCGGCCAGCTGAGAACAGGCGGTGTTCTGGGTCTCCGAGGTCGCCATGCGCGCGAGCATCTGATCCATGAGCGCTGCGAGGGTTGACTGCAAAGATGCGGTTCGCTCGGTCAAGACTTGGACACTCGCGCCCACCGGAGAGGCGCGCCAACTCCGGCAACCGCGGGCGCCTTGGTTCCGAGGCGGCTGTCTGGGATGTTGGCGGTGCTGTGCGCCCCAGGTACGAACTCCGCCCCCACTGCCCCCGCGCTCGCAGACCCGCTTGGAACTCCAGCTCCTGCAGGAGTGCTCGGCGCCAGCCCGCCGAACACCTCCCCCCCAGCTCCCCCTCCCCCCAGGTCAGCCTCGCTCTCGAGATCGCAGGCGATGCTATTGATGGCCGCGGTGTCGCTGCTGCACAGAGTGCCCAAGTACGTCTGCACTCTACCTGGGGAGCTTCCGACCAAGGCATCCGCGACGTTGCGCGGGCGCTCGATTTTCGTGCTCTGGAGGACCAGCCGGTCAAACACACTGACTGCGTTCGCTGTGCCTGAGCGGACAACGTGCTCGCACGCCAGCGCCGCGGCATCTCGCCCTGCGGACATGTCGGCGGCAAACCCGTCCGCATGGGCCCCCGCTGCAACTGATTAATCACATGCCCCTGCGCCCCCTTGCGCAGGGGTCGGTGGAAGGGGGGGCGCCCTGTCGAAGTAGCTGTGGCGGCCTCCTCGACCTGGTTCTTGAAGGCAGACGTCGGGCACAGCGGGTACACGACGATGGGCACGGACCCATAGTTCCCATCTGAATCGGACGCCCGAAGCCCGATAGCTGCACAGCCAGGGGGGCGCTGCGGGGAGCCGCGTGCTCCAATCCTGGATGTCCATCTCTGGGAGTAGCATGCTTGTGAATGGGTTCTTTCCCAGGTGGGGGGTGCCAGCATCTTCTAGGTCCTTCATCCAGAGGACGCCCCCGTGCCAGGTGGTGTGCTCCTCCATCATCACATCGCGCAGGCTCTTGCGACTCAGCAAGGGGCCCAGCCCATGTCCGCGCGCGCTCGGAGAGAGGAAATGATGGCCTCCTTCGTGGATGCTGCTATCGCCCGCCCCATGTCGACCCGATCCAACACCCCTGACAGGAACGCCGTGTCCAGCTGGATGGCCTCAAGGCAGTCTTGATAACGAGTGTGTAGGCCTCAGGGCACAGGACGCTGAACTTGCCATCGCCCGCTGGCTCAAACCCCCGATCCATCATATTGCCGGCCTCCTGGGCGGAAGAGAGGATGTTGATGAGGGGCCCGATCGCCCTCTTCCTTGCCTCGGTTGAGAGGCAAGAAGGCTGAAACCGTGCGACGATGGAAGCCAGCCCCAAGTCCGACCACTCGGTAGGGCACTCCATGATCACGTCGAGCTACCTGCTCGAGGCAAGCATGGCGGCACGGCAGAGTTTTGCCACTGCGAGCGCCACGTAGACCATCGGATCAGGGCCCGAAAACCGCATCTTCTCGAGCTCCGCCTCGATCTCGGCCTTCCTCACGAGAGACTCCAACAGCATGATCCCGACCTCCGACAGGTACGTCTGCTCCTCAGTGTGGGGTGTCGCCGGCCAGTTGCCGATCGTGCGGGTCGCAATGAATGTGCTGATTGCGATCCCGAGCTCCTGCGTGACCGCGTGGACGGCGGAGGCCCCCGGACAAGGCTGGGGCCCGAAGAGCCCGGCCCCCTCCGTAGAGGTGGGGGTAAGAGGGAGGAGAGCCCACCCGCTTGGGTTTGCCAGCTGGGCGGCCGCCCCAAGACCCTTGAGGCTGTTGGAGAGCAACGCCAGGTTACCCACTAGCGTCTGGTAGTCCATGGCCTCAGCGTCGCGCTTGCAGAGGTTGCTGAGGTGGGTGATGGCCTCATGGCTGCGACCGGCCACAGCCCCGCTGGTGGGCTGACCCACCTGGCCATCGTCGCCCGAAGACCCAAGGGGCAGCTGGCCAGGAGTTGGGGTGCCTATCTCGAACTCCTGCGGGAAGGCGGCCTTGGATTCATCCGTGACGGCGTGATCCTCTGGCACCGTGGGGAAATCCCCTCTCGCCGTGCGGAGGAAGGCGGTCGTAGCAGACATGTTGAGGGCACTTGGGGCCTTCGGGGGGCATGTCGGCTGAGCCCACGGGTCTTGGTCGTGGACGATGTTCGAGGGTGGCGCCATTGCCCCCTGGTCCCTCTCAACCTCTTGGGTGGGCACCTGGGGGCACACTGGAGGCCCAGATGGGGGCACCTCATCCTCTGTGCTCTCTCCTTGGGGGCCCTCCCCACCCACCTGTGATCGGATCGAATGCCCCGGTCCACCCACGGCATGCGGGTCTTTGGTTTCCTGGAGGGGTCCTGGACCGGTGCCGGCCCTTTTGCCTGGGGCCCCCGCGGTCGAACTTCCTCCGACGGGCTCTTGCTCCTTCAGCATGTCGTCCCCCTCGGGTTGGTAGGTCTGCGGCGGGCTGACGTCCGGTTTCTCCATCGGGGCCCTTGGGGTTGCAGCCTCCAGGCTAGGACTGTCACCCAGGGTTTCGGGGCGCCCCGCTTGGCTGGCCACCGAATCTGGCGGCGACGGGCCGAGCACATATGGGGCCCCTTGGGGGGGAGGGCCAGCAACCCCACGGGACGCAGCGGATCCGCTGCAGGGATGACGTCATGTCACCTGAGTTCGCTGCAGGGACCCATCTATTTCGTCATCTCTGCAGCGGGTCCGCTGCAGGGATGACGAAATAGGAGGGACGACGACGAGACGCCGACGACGGACGACGACGACGACGAGGGAGGAGGAGGAAGGACGACCACGGCGACAACGACGACGGAAACGACCACGACGCCAAAGAGGACGACGACGACGAACACGAGGAAAGACAGAGGACGACGACGGCGACGGCGACAAAGACGACGAGGGAGGAGGGAAGACGGCGACGACGACGACGACGACGCAAGAGCGCGCGCGCACGCTTTTGTTGAAAGTCCGTGTTGCGAAACCTTGGTTTGCAATGTGTTTTGGATACTCGATTTCGACACCCTTCCGAAACCATTGGTTTTTGACTGATTTCGGCATGCGCGCGCGACGACGCGCGCGTGCGCACTTCGTCCCGTTTTTTGTTACGGAGGATTCTCGCGACGGCCCGCGCGCAACGGCGTTCGAAAGATTTCGACATGCGCGCGCGAAGCCCATTTGGTAGTATTTTTTTAGAATCTGGATAAACTTGTGGTTCCCTCAAGACTTCGCAAGAGCGCGCGCGTAGGCTTTTCTAGAACATCCGTGTTGCGAAAACCTGTGTGTTTGTATGTTTATTTTGGGAACTCGATTTCGAAATCCATCGGAAACCAAGATTTTTTGAAGGATTTTGGCATGCGCGCGCGACGACGCGCGCGTGCGCACTTCGTCTCGTTTTTGTGAAAAGGCGTTCTTGAACATGTACGCTTTGTGATGAACGAATGCGCGCGCATAGAATTTGTTTCCAGGATGGCGGGGGGAACCGATACTGGTTTGGCTGGGACACATGCGTTCAAAAGTAGGATGGACATTGGGTCAGAATCCTAAGTGATTTTTTCATAGGTTCCCAAGGGGTCTTTAATCCCGGGGGGAGGGTGGTAGAACGTATTTCTTGTGTTTCGAAAAGAGATTTCACTTGCGGAACTTGAAATTGTGAACTCAAGTGCTCGCGCAATCATCCCACCCACCCACCCGCAACTTGGTTTGCAAAACCCATGCAGGAACGATTGCGATGAGTGCTGGGTGTTGGCTGGTGCATCTCTGCGGCCGCGCTAGCCCGCGCATGCTCGCGCGCGCAGCGGACAGCTAGTTTGGCGCGACCGACGCGCACGCGGTGGCGCTGACCGTTCCACACATTCCAGCGGGCTTCACTGCGAGTCGGCGACTTGGGCGGGCGCGGTATCAAGGCAACGTCAACAACGGTAGACACGATGATGACCGTAGCGATGCTGGCGACGATGCTAACAGCGACGACGGAGCAGCCAGTGACGGCGCCGATGCTGATCACGCCGGCAACGATGGCGGCGTCTTCGCGTCGGCGATGAAAGTTTTGGAGGGAATTCGAAATGCGCTCGCGGCAGACACGCGACAGTGGCTCGCATGATATTATTTGACACGGATCGTGCCGCCCCAGCACGCGCGCAACGGCGTTCGAACGATTTCGACACGCGCGCGCGAAACCCGCTTGGTAGCATGTTGTGAACATGTTGGGAACCTATGATCTTCTTAAAACTCGCAAGAGCGCGCGCGCACGCTGTTGTTGAACATCCGTTGCGAAACCATGGTTTTATGATTTCACATGTTGTTTGGACGTTCGATTTTGAAATCTTCCTGGGGCCGAAAGTTGTTGAAGAATTTCGGCATGCGCGCGCGACCACGCGGTCGTGTGCACTTCGTGTCATCTCGTGCAAAGGATTCTTGAACATTTATAATTTGTCATGAACAAATGCCCGCGCATAGAATTTTTGCAAGCGAACCGAAGGGGGGCCGATACCGGCCTGGCTGGGAAAGTATGAATTCACAGGTCGGATGGACATTGGGTCAGAATCATATGTGCGGGGGGGAAGTGGTAGAACCGATTTCCATTTTAGGAAAGAGAACGATACGTGGTGCGATTCACATGTCGTGCAATATATTTGGAACGCAATATACGTCATCCAAACGATGTACTGTGCAATCGATGTTGTGTAATCTACACGATGCAAAGCGTAACCATGCAATTTGCAATGCGCAGCACTGCAAAGCGGTGCAAATAACTAGCGCACCACAATGAACAACAAGACCCAGACGCGGGGCGGCGGCGGGGCGGCGACGGCAACTGGATAGCCGCCACAGCGGCACACCAGCCAAGACGACGGGCGGCAACGAGGCGGCGACGGGGCGGCGACGGCGACTACATAGCCGCCAGAACGACACACCAGCCCAATCCCTGAGAACTGAAATAGGAAACCCCAAATACAAGCAGCGTATGGGTAACCAAGCAGCGCAAAGCGATGCAAAGCAATGGAGAGCAACGCAAAGCAAGGCAACGCAACGCAACGCAATGCAAAGCTACGCGAAGCAATGCAAAGCAACGACGACATAGCAACCAGACCGACAGCCAGGACCGATTCCTTAGAAAAGCAGTCAAGCAATCGACGTGGTATAGTCCAAAGGCGACGTGGCGGCGACGGGGCGGCGACGGCGACGACATAGCCGCCAGGGCGGCACGCCAGCCAAATTCGTCAGACCAGAAGCAAGAAACCTTCAGTGCAAGCACTGTGTGGGGAAAATCGCGCACTCGCTCCCGAAGCCACGATCTCTCGCGTAAAAATGCATCCATACAGCCAGCAAGCCAGCAGAGTTGCCAGCCTGCATACCAATCAGCCGATCAAGCAGCCGACCCAATCGACGCACCCACGCAGCAATCGGCAATCAGAGTGGGGGGGGCACAACGGCATAGGGCGAAGCCTTTCATATTAGTCGAAGTAGCTGACGTAGCCTTGAATCGCGACTGGCGTGCCAAGAGCGGGGCGCTCCGGTCGCGCGACGGAGACCCCTACCCAGCGCCCAGAGTGACGATGCAGGGCGGGTGGGCGGTTGGCGCAGCGCGCACTCCAGCTGAGCCAAAATGGCCACGAGTGCATTGACTCGCGTGTCCAGCCCAGGGCGCCTGACTTGCCCTTCGCATCAAATCTCATGCACACGAAATGATGGTATTAGCGATGGCAGCCGCCGACTAGGGGACGAAGCGGGGGGGCAAGGGAGCGGGGAGATGCGCCGAGCGGACTCACAACGACAGGCTGGCGCAACCATCTCGGCCACCGCCCTCTCTGCCTCCGCTGCCACGGCCGCAACCGCCGTTCTGCCCACCTCAGAGCGAAAGAAACGGGTCCTATGGGAAACGGATCCTGGACCCCTATGACCTTCCCCCAGGACCAGGTCCTCATCCCTGAGTCGTTTTCTCCTAGGGCTCCCAACTTCGCGCTTCGCGCTGCGCGAAGCGCGAAGCGCGAATAACTTCGCGCTCTCGCGCCGCCCTCCCAAAGGGAGAATAGGAGGACGAGGAGGAGGGGGAGAAGGAACGAGGACCGCGAAGCGCGAAGCGCGAATAACTTCGCGCCCTCGAGGGAGCCCTTGTTTTCTCTGACAGTCCTAGGGCCCGCGGAGGGCCCCGAGAGGCCGAAAACCGTGAAAAACCTTAGGACCCGTTTCCGTCCGGACCCCTTTCTTCATGGCGACCACCGCGCACTGCGCCCCCGCGGCAGGCCTGGTGTTCGCCGAGGGTGCCCACCCCGCTGTCGAAGGCGCTGCAGTCCGAGGCGGCGTCGGGCCCAGGCATGGGTGCGCCCGGCGGCGCGGGAGCTGCCTGGGCTTCGGGGCCGGGGCCGCCTGGCGGCACTGCGGTGCCGCCGGACAGCGAAGAGGCAACGGGCCCTCCCCAGCAACGTCCGTCCTGGATCCACTTCGGCCGGTCAAGCACGAGCTTTGCTACCCGCGAAGGCTGGCCTGCCCCCACGGGCCAATGCTCGCCATCTTGCGGCGTCAAAACCAGCGTCACACGGTTCTGAATAGCGAGGCGGAAGAGGTGGTGGTGCTTGCTGAAGCGGAAGCATGTCCTGTTTACGGAGAGCGGCAGCTGGCTAGACTCATCGGCATTCTCGTCGAACTGGCTGACGCAGTAGCTAATCCAATATCGGAAATCGTCTCGCTGATCCGGCCGGGCACACCGCAGGAGACTCTGCTCCAGCCCGCATATCTGTTCCCAAGGGCAGCCGACGAAGGCCTCGAAGGCGCTGCTGCAGCACAGCATGGTGAGCTCAGGCGACAGGGCGTCGAACCAAACACAAACAGCAACATGAGGTAAAGTTGACCCCTGGGAGGTCTCGCGCTCATAGGTGCAAGTGCTGGACTTTTCCGTTACGGACGAACGGCGACCCTGAACATCACTCTTCAACGCACGCAGAATTGGCTGAGGCATGGCCGACGCTGTGTCCGCAAACTCCCGAAAGCCGAGGAGGTACTCCTTGTTATCGCAACTGTGGACGCGAACACAAAATACCTCCATCGGTACTGCGATGCCCCTGCTGTCCCGCATGCTCACGTGAAAAGCCTTGCAGAAGCCGTCGCCGTTGGTACTGGAGGTTACCTCTCGGACCAATTTCTTGCGATCTGCCTCTGAAGGAATGAGCGATGTTAGCTTCTCTCCGGCCAGCGTTCGCGACGGATGTAGCATTAGCACTGTTGCCAGCCCCTGCGCAGGCTGCGAAAGCCGCAGTCAGCATCGAGCTCCGCCACAGCATCGCACACGCCTGCCAAGATCGACTTTGCAGCCCGCAGCTCGCTTCTTGAAGTCTTACCCTCTAGCTGAAAGCGCGCAACCTGGCAGAAACCAGCATTGAACATCACCAAAGCTGCATTTACAAGACACCAGTCTCTGAGAACGTCTGTCACCAGGGTAGGGTTCGAATTCAGACAAGGGTTGTTGCTGAAATCACTAGTGACTACCGTGAGCACAGCGACCATATATTGAATCGCCGTCCACGTCATGTTCACTGAGAGGCACATGTCCATAACAGTGGATATCATGCATTCAAAAACGATATAAGGTCGAAGATGAACAATCGATTCGGCGGACTGGAACAACGGAGACATCGTCAGCACGGAAACAATCGCAAACACCGAATACCAAACATGAAGCGACTGTGGTGTCATCAAGCTTGGGAAAACATGGAGAACGACCGAAACCAATACTACGACACACATATACAGGCGCCGCGGAGTTGCGTGATCACGATCGTCATCTATGAAGAATGCCACTGGGAGAAACAGAAGCGACAAAGAGGCAACCAGATGGCAGCAACGTCCCGCGAGGTCAGTCCTCATGCTCAACTCATGCTTGCGAACAGCATCTTGAGAGCAAGTGACGCTGCACGCAATCATGCTGCTCGCTCTCCTGGATAGCGAACGCAGATGAGCAACTAGACCACCAATGCAGGATCGCAGGCCACCCCTGATCCCAAGCTGTCGGATCGGGCGTCCCAGCAACAGGGCTGCGCAGAACACGATGCACGTGATCTGCACCGCATCGATAGTCCGACTACATATCTCCAGGACGGGCATCGCGGAAAGACGTCGCACTGGCTCTGGGAGTCTTGCCGATAACGGAGCTCCCTGGAATTCAAACCCAAGCCGCCGTGGGCGCAAGGCTTGAACCAAGGAGCTTCGGCCCCGGAAAGCGCGCTCCTTCATACGGTGGAACTGGCAGCGGCCAACCGAACCGCCAGTGGATTCGGGGCCGAAGGGCAACCCGCAGAGGCGCCAATGCTGGGCCAGAGGCGCGCCCGGAGTCTCCGGTGAAGCGCGCCAGGCTCTCGTGTGCCCGCTTCTCGCGCGCGTGGCGGCCCCGGGCCAGGCAATGTAAGGGAGGCCGCCACCACGGGGGTCGCCAGCTCCCCCCGAGGATCGAGGCTCGAGGACATCAAGGGCCGAGAAGAGCTCGGACGGCTGGAACCTCTCTGGGAGGGGCGTCCTCCTCCAGGAGGTGGCGACTCCCCTGCAAGCGACTTGCCGTGAGTCCAGGTTGAGCCCGCGGCGGGACGCTGGAACCTCTTGGGCGCAGCCTGGGCAGATGCCGAGCGACCGCCACAAACGACAGCGAGGCCTTCAGGACGGCCGCCCAGGCTTTCCAGACCGGCACCAAAGCTGCCACAAGGCGGCTCCAGGTGACCACGGAGCCTTCCGAGGATGCCCCCAGGCTGAAATCAATCAAAACACCTAACGTACATTTCTCAGTGCTTTCGGCAAGGCCTCATGAGGTCTCAGGGCGGCGCCAAGATCGCCGAAGAAAGGTAGCTCCAAGTGGAGCCCAGAAGGGATCAAAGTGGCATCCGATGATCCCCACGACCTCCCCTAAAGCGCCCCAGAAGAACCAGGCCCCGAGATAGCCCCAAGGTGGCTCAAGACTGCCCCCATGGAGACCCCCAAGAAGCAAGGGCTGCTAAATGCGCACGAGGAGTCGGCCCTCCTCCTCCTCCTTCTCCTCCTCCTCCTCCTCCTCCTCCTCCTCCTCCTAATCGCCTGCTCCAGCCATATGGCCATCTGTCCTGGAGGGGAAATGTCAGCGCTGGGGCCTCGTGCATAGTGGGTGCTCGAGGGATGGTTGTCTGCTTGACATCAGCGGGGGCCTAGCAATCAGTGCTCTCACGACGCTCGGCGGTCACCGCCGATTTGCTTTCCATCGACGCTCTGTCTATGGGATGCTCGGGACCGCCTCCACCCTCCATCCCTCATACGCTTCCTCCGTTGGAGGCCACCGACGCCTGCCGCGGCAGCCCCGACCACGGTGACGGGCCTGTCTTCCACCACCACCACCACCATAAGTTGGAGGGGGGAGGGGGTCCTCCTCCCCCTCTTCTTCTTCTTCCTCCTCCTCATCCTCCACCTCCTTCCACCCTCCAACTGATGGTGGTGGTGATGGTGGAAAACAGGCCCATCACACGGGGAGATCCTTGCGGGCCGTCGCTGCTAGCACAGCTCTCCCGAGGGGCAGGCCGCCTCCGACGGGCCCCTCCCGCGACCGAGCGCGCGCGTGCAGTCGGCAGCCGCAGGCCCAGACATGCTCGCGCTGCGAGACAGCATCGGCGTTATGTTGACGCTGGACGGGCGCTCCCTCACCGAACTCCCCAACGTTAGCGCACGCCGATGCACTCTAAAAGCGGAGTCGCGAGGACTCCTCAAGGCTCCCACGAGTTGCCGAACTAGGGGGCACCAAGGTCGGCCGGGGGGCACCCCACTCCGCGTCCGAGAGCGGCCGCCTTGGAACACGCCAGCCCTTGGCGGCCAGAGGGCTCTCCCCAGACATGCTCGCGTTGCGAAACTTATCCTGGCGAAGAACCCAACCATATGCAGTTGTGAATACCGCGTTGTGAGTACCGCTTCTGGTGGAGCTCCCTGTGGGGCACATGCGGTCGCCTCCACTGGGGTTTTCGATGGAGCCCTCTCTGCGGCCAAGACGCCGTGTACTGGGTGAGGGAGTCGCATGCGGCCGCGGCCACTCAGGGTTTCGGTGAAATTCCCTATGGGGCCACGAGGCGCTGTACAGGGTGGGGGAAACGCATGCGACCGCGGCCACTGGGGCCTTCGGTGGAGCCCCTTGCGAAGCGGCCACGAAGCGCTGTACTGTGGGGGAGACGCATGCGGCCGCAGCCACTGGAACCGTCGGTGGAGCTCCCTAAACAGCAAGGGAGACGCATGCGAACGTCGCATCTGGGGTTTTTGGTGGAGCCCCATATACGGCCACAGGAACGTCGTACAGGGTGAGGGAGTCGCATGCGGCCGCGGCCACTGGGGGCTTCGGTGGAATTCCCTATGGGGCCACGAGGCGCTGTACAAGGTGGGAGGAACGCATGCGACCGTGGCCACTGGGGCCTTCGGTGGAGCCTCCTGCCAAGCGGCCACGAAGCGCAGTACTGTGGGGGAGACACATGTGGCCGCAGCCACTGGGGCCGTGGGTGGAGACCCCTAGCGAGTAGGGGAGACGCATGCAAACGTCGCATCTGGGGTTTTGGTGGAGCCCTCATATGGGGCCACAGAACGTTGTACTGGGCGGGGGAGACGCATGCGGCCGCGGCCACTGGGGGCTTCGGAGGAACTCCTTGTAGGGTCACGAAGCGCTATACAAAGTAAGGGAAGCGCATTCGAACGTCGCCTCTGGGGCCTGACCACGACACGCGGTACTGGACTGGGGAAAAGCATGCGAACGTCGCCTCTGAGGTTTTCGGTTGAGCTCCCTACGGGGCCACGAAACGCTGTAATGGATGGGGGAGACGCGTGCGAACGTCGCCACTGGGGCCTTCGGTGGAGCTCCCTATGGGGCCACGAAGCGGTGTACAGGGTGGGAGAGGAAACGCATGCGAACGTCGCCTCTGTGGCCTTCGGTGGAGCCCCATATGGAACCACGACACGCTGTGCCAGGCGGGGGATACGTATGCGAAAGTCGCCTCTGGGGTTTTGGTTGAGTTCCCTATGGGACCACGAAGTGCTTTACTCGATGGGGGGGACGCATGCGAACGAGGCTTTCGGTGGAGCTCCCAATGGGGCCACGAAGCGCTGTACTGGGTGGGGGAAACGCATTCGAACGTCGCCTCCGGGGCCTTCGGCGGAGTTCCCTCTGGGGTCACGAAACGCTATACAGGGCGGTCGAGGAAACGCATGCGAACGTCGCCTCTGGGGCCTTCGGTCGAGCTCCCTACGGGGTGACGAAACGCCGCAATGGGTGGGGGAGACGCATGCGAACGTCGCCACTAGGGCCGTCGGTGGAGTTCCCTCTGGGGTCACGAAGCGCTATACAGGGCGGTCGAGGAAACGCATGCGAACGTCGCCTCTGGGGCCTTCGGTCGAGCTCCCTACGGGGTGACGAAACGCCGCAATGGGTGGGGGAGACGCATGCGAACGTCGCCACTGGGGCCGTCGGTGGAGCTCCCTATGGGGTCACGACGCGCGAAAGGTGTGCCGAACTGTTTGGCATCTGGGGGGCGGAAACAAGGATGAATGAAGGGAGGAGAGAAGTCAGAAGGAGGGTGAGGAGGAGGGGGAGGAAGAGGAGAAGAGGGAAGCGGGGCGGTGCTTCTTCAAAACGGGAACCCAATACTACAGGACGGGGCAGGGAACAAAATCGCGACGGACGGTTCTTCGTCGCTGTCTGCCTCTAGCCACTCTCGCCGGGCCCTTGCCGAGGACCGTCAGAAGCCGACCCGGGATGCAAAACAAGCCTTGTGGAAAAAGTCGGAACTTCCGGGGACCCCGCATTGGGAATTATCTTTGCGAGGGACCCGATCGCGCGCAGCTTTGACTATCGCGAGGCAGGTGAGAAGGAGGAGGGGGCCGCCAAAGGACTGCGGCGCTGATTGTGGAAGAAATCATTTAGGCTCGTGGGGGAATGCATTGTTTGGCGTGGGCCCCGTGCGCCGTTATCCTTGTTTCCAGTGTCGGGCGTTGCGTTACTGCCCGCCTGCCCCGCGGTGGCCCGAGCCCCAGGGCCCAGCCGATGTGTGTCCAGTTCCTTCTCTCCTACTTTTCCCTTCTTGTCCCTGCGCCCTGGTAGCCGCGGCTCTGAAGAAAAGCATTCGGGAATCTCCGCGACGCGCGCCTGTCGCCCCGAAGGAGACCCAGCGACGCGCGCGAGGTGTCTGCGGCACGGAGCAATTTAGCCTGGCGAGCGACCCAACCATATGCAGCTGTGGGCATATAGGCATCGTCTTCGGCGGAGCCCCCGCACAGGGCCACCAAACGTTGCACTGGGCGTGGGAGACGCATGAGGGCTGCGCTACTGGGACCTTCGGTGGGGCTCCTCTCTGTGGCCATGGAGCGCTGCAAAGGGTGGTGGAGACGCATGCGGGCTGCGCCACTGGGACCTTCGGTGGAGCTCCCTATGGGGCCACGAAAACCGTATTCGATGGGGGAATCGCATGCGGGCTACGCCGTCGGTAGAATTCCCGACGTCGCCACGAAATTCTGTATGTACCGTGTGGGGCAGACGCAGGCAGGCGGGCTGCGACACTGGGACCTTTGGTGGCGGTGCCTATGGTGCCACGAAGCGGTGTACCGGGTGGGGGAGACGCATGCGGGCTGCGCCACTGGGACCTTCGGTGGAGCTCCCAACGGGGCCAAGACAGCGAGGCGCATGCGGGCTGCGCCACTGGGGCCGTCGGTGGAGCTCCCTACGGGGCCGCGGAACGCTGGACTGGGTCGGGGAAGCGCATGCGGGCTGCGCCACTGGGACCTTCGGGGGAGATCCCATATGGGGCCACAGAACGCTGTACTGGGCGGGGGGAGCACATGCGGGCTGCGCTACTTAGATGTTTAGAAGAACTCCCTCTTGGGCCACGAAGCGATGCACTGGGTGGGGGAGACGCATGCGGGCTGCGCCACTGGGGCCTTCGGTGAAGGTGCCTATGGGGCCACGAAGCGGTGTACCGGGTGGGGGAGACTCATGCGGGCTGCGCCACTGGAGCCTTCGGTGGAGCACCCTGTGAGGCCACGAAACGCTGTAATGGGTGGGGGAGACACATGCGGGCTGCGCCACTGGGACCTTCGGTGGAGCTCCCCATGGGGCCACGAAGCGCTCTACTGGGTGGGGGAGACGCATGCGGGCTGCGCCACTGGGACCTTTGGTGGAGGTGCCTATGGGGCCACGAAGCGCTGCACTCACCGGGCTGGGGAGAC